ATTCATTTTTATCTATGCTCTGCACTCGAACAACGAGCTATTCTAAAAAAAAACCGATCCTAATCGGTAGTCACATTCATATTCTGAGACCGCAGTGTTTCGATGTAAAAAATGCACTTATTCAATTTTACAAGTGCATGCAGCATTCACGGCTCGTCGATAGTATTTATGAACTTTAATTCGGACTGATTTTGCGTGGAGAAAAATGTCCGAGAATAATCTGCGTCGGCAGATGTTACGGAAACTGCGATCTCGTAAGAACGGCACGTGGCGGCAAGGTGCGCGCAGTAGGGAAAGTATTATTCTCAATTTATCTCGCGCCCACTTAGCCTCATCTATACCGTGGCATCGATTCTCAAAGGAATGGTCGTGCCAGCTGGCCGGGATCGATATCTCGGAGGACGTGTCTCAGGTTTTTACCTAACAGTTTCTTCCCGCGATACGTCACGATTTCGCACCGTTGAAATTTTCAAGTTCCTATCCGATCCGGTAATGAAATAGATATCTGTCGCGCGGGCTGTCAGGAAAATTCAGTCCGTTCATTATATATAGACCGTCTCTCGGATGTCGACTGACAGTCAAATTTATCTTTAACGTGGCAAAAACCATTACAGGCAATTCTCTGGAATAACACTTAAGCGCCATGTATTTTCAATCCGTTTTATCAGTTTTAAAGTTCATAAAGCGTAGCTCTCTCTCTCTCTCTCTCTTCAGTCTCCCGTAAGCATAATTTTACTCGTTACAATGTAATTACACGGTAACGCAATTAACGTAGCTCGGTCGTGTCGCGTCGATATGGTCATTGATTAACGAAAATGTGCTCCCACGGCTTTGGAAATAACAACAACATGGAAATATCATTGCCGAGCGTCCCTGTAATTATTTCCGTACGTCTCTACTCCATTTAACAACGGCGAACTGCGTTACCCCCCCGTCAATGTAATCGATCAATTACAGAGTCAATAACAATCTAAGCAGTATTTAACAACGAATTAATTTCACCGATGCTCCGTCCGTTCCGGGCCGAGCCGATCTGCCAAATAATAGCGGATCGAGACCGAGTCAACAACGAAACTCCATTCGCCGTAATTGCATGATACGGATCAGGCGTTTCGAGTCCGGCGCGCGTCGCCGGAAGCGCGACGGATTTTCGTGACTCGATTTCATTTCATGCACACATCTCTCGAATGCCGCATTGTGTCCTCGCACAGTTCTCGGACAGTCGGCGCAACGGGCAAACTCTGCGACGAAACTTCTCTCGGAAACGTTTAGACCGTGGTCTGATGTTCGTTTCCGCACAGGCCCGCTCCTGCGTCCTTCCTCCCCGTCTGCCTCCGCCCGGTCCCTCGGTTTTTTCTTTTCCCTTATCCGTTAGCTTCTACCAGAAGCCTTTCTGTGTCCACGGGGTAATCGCGTGATCTAAGAGCGGCGCGGAGCTTTCACAGAATGTCTGGCTTCGGTGCATCGCACGAGGGAATCTCGAACCGACCGGGACAGATAAGCCGACGCGAAGCCGAGTTTTCCTAGACGCGCGAGCGCGAGCGGATGCTGTACGTAGACGTAAGTCGCGTCGTGGATCAAAGTTCCCCGCGATTCGTGGGACGCAGCCAGCAGTTCGCAAACGCGTCGGATCATCTTCAGAAAGTCGGTTCGCCATCGCTAAGTAATTTTTAGTGTTCGCTACGGTTCGATCTCGGCTACGCGACTTATGTACGTACATACTAGCTCAATTTTCTAAAATGAAAATTCATCGAACGAAATTTATTAAACGAAAACCTGAGATATTCTTATTTTATTTAAAGTACAATTTTATTGAATGATTTTGAATAATTATTCGATTGAGATTGTTTTTCATGGTGGATGATCTGATTCTCTGATGAATAGTAAGTCGTTGGACGTGCTGTAAGACTTCTAGTGTGGAGTGTACCTAGGCATGTGTATCGGTAAACTATCAGTGGCCAAGATCTGGCAGTATCGTGTCAGCGATCCGTGAATCACCTGCAAGGGTTCTCGAAACGTTATATACTAGGACGGTGTACTATAGGTATGACGGTCGAGTGGAGGATCCGCGGCCTGCTTTTCGCGGAGAGCGGAAAGAGATTGCGGAGATACAAACTGTGGCCACCAGCTGCGGGCGTCTTAATGCGTCTGTGCTTGCCTCGTAAATAACTTTGAGAAAGAGGAGGAGAGTTGCCGCGAAGAAGACAAGTTCCAAGTTCGGGTAGCGCCTTACGGGAATTAATATCGCGGTTTATTATGGGCTTGGTCAAGTGTTCGTTTATTGGAAACTCGTCCCACACGTTATCCTGTTATAGGAATTTTTGTAAAAGTTTTCGGGCCAACCAATTGAAAGTTTTAGTTACCGCCGAGTTATTTTCAAAAAGATAAGGTTTCCAACCTCCTATCTATTCTTACATGTATAAGTAATGCGTTTTACAAAGAGTATTTAAATTTCAAATGCAGCTTCATTATTCTGGTTTAACGCGCTCGCGACGTCGATGCAAAAGCAGCCAACGATTTCTGCAACGACACCTATTATATTTCGATTTAGCGTTAAACGCGGCGTGTCCCCGATAAAGGAGGGGAATTAACTTGAGAGCTTTAATTATTGTTGTAACGTGAAAATCTGCATCGCACAGGCACGGGGGCGTTGTATCCCTGTTCACCTCGCTCGAACGTATCACGGGGTAAAAAAAACGGCATGGTTCACTTTTTTTTATCCATTAGCCTTTCGTGTCACCCGGCTCTAAATAGATGCGGTGGGAAGATGCTCGAGTCAGCGTGGCCGGACGTGACCGAACAATGATCTTTCCGAGAGATTTTACACCGGCTTACCAGGAAAATTGAGCAACCAAGAGTCCGTACCTACTTTCTGCTCGCGCTATCTGAAGTCCCCTTTTACACACGAGTCATCGCACATATGTACAAGCTGAGCTACGTCCCACGTTCGTGACACGGTGCTAGAATTAATTCCGGTTCTGTTTGAAATTCCTCGTATTCTCTCTACTCTGGTTTTATCGTCGACTTTATCGTTAACAGCAGCTTAATTCCGTCATGGTTTGAAATTGCATCAGTCGATTTCTCTCTTTGTCTCTCCCTCATCCTGTTCTTTTAGATTTAATATAAAACCGACATTCGTTTTAATAGAAAATCGTATTCATCGTAAAAAGTTAATGCACACTGGTGCGCGATAGATGGAAACTTTCATATTGCGAATTCTATCAGGTCCTCGTGAAATAATTATGAACGACCCTGCACGAAAAACCGCAATCGAAAGTTCATCAACGACACAGCGGAAGCGACACAGGTTTCATGATTGATGAGCGATTCGCCAACAACGATCGTTCGTTTTCGAGTGGTTCGCTCGTCCGCGTTTAAACAAAGAATTGGAGAACACGTCGCGTCCGACGCTTTGAATTCCCGGGGGCGGAAAGAGCGCGGCGGCGGCGGCGGCGGTGTCTCGACGTTGATAAATTCCAAACAGCGATGCATTTTGTACGGACGCGACACGACGCGGCATCTCCTCTTCATATTTGATGCGTCAAAGCGAGCGACGAGGACACGGGTGAATGAGTCGCGAGTCAGGACAAATACGATCGCGGCGTGGCGTGGCATGGGTTCGATATAGGCCACTCGGGTGTCGTGTATCACCGGGAAAAGAGGGTTTCGCGAGAGCCGAGCGGGGGAGGAACGAAAACCTGGGGAAAGGGGAAATAGAGGAAATGAGAAAATAAAGGGGAACGGCGACGCGCAAAGAGGTGCCGGAATGAGAGGAGCACTGAAGAGAATGATAGCTGTTATTGGTGCGTGTGCAATTGGCATTACGTACGGTAGAAGAGTTCGATGAAATTAGAGGCGCTTTTGCTAATGCGCTAAAGGCTGTTTTAATGCATACGCGGGACGGTTCCGATACCGGGTCCGCATTGGTAGTTTTTCGCAGCAACGCAGCGATCAATCGTTATACATAAATCGAGCCGATTGGATTAGCCGCGCTCTGTCGAATGAATGCTTCCTAATGGATCATGTGCACGGGAATAATCAACGGAACCTGCGCTACCCAAACTGGCCGACGCGAACTAATCGCGAGGAAGGTCGGTGATATTGTTGCGGATAAATTACTGCACCCTCCATCGACGGGTCTTGGTAACGATCCATATTTCGTCGAAATGAATCAGTGAAACGAATCAGCGTCAGTCGAGACTTTCACTGAAACGCTGTTCTTTATTTAAACCGAAACGGCACATCGAGGAATTTCTGTTGCAGTCATTATGTAACGAATTCTGATAATGGTATTTCAGATTGATTCTGTTAGGAATAGATGAAGAGGAACAGAGAATTAAATTCCCTCTGTTCCAATTCGTCGCGTATTTCGATAGAATTCCACCATAATTCTATGAATTATTGATGTTAATTGTTCGAACTCTCCATTCCCGCAATTTCAATCGGAAATTGTTAGACAATACACGGAATGCATCCGTCGAATGAGGGTGTAATAATTTCGACGATCAGTGATTAAATGTTACGCCCGTGCGGGGCAATCACTGATTTTGTTGCCGAAAAGTTTTGCCGGCAAGTTGCGGGTCCTTGCGGCACGTTCTTTCACGGCGAAGTCGAACTTTAATTTGATTCTTCGAGATTGACGCGAGGTCGACGCCGGGGAAGCGCGGGGGTGGGTGAGGCCAAAGGGCGAGTGATCGATGGGAAAGGTGACGAGTTCATTTTGGAAATAAGGAAAGTTTCGGATCTTTGCTCACCGATGACATTACTTTCCGAACATTGTCAGATGGCGGATTTCATTACCTCGAAATTCTGATATCCTTTTGTACCCCCCCGGTCTATATAAATATATAACGTATTAAAATCTTCTTGGCGATTACCATTTTATTGGATAGCACCGACGTCACGGTATCGATATACCCGCGGACGTATCGTACGCTCCGTTGTTTCCCTAGCGTTTACGATAATGCGATAATACGATCATCGTGAAATGTTTGTTGTAGGTTGCTCTTGCGTCGTCTACAGCAGCTCGGACAGACCTCAAGGTGGCACGTTCACATCCCCTTATTACCCGAAGCGATATCCGACGAATATCGATTGCCTGCTTTACACGTTCATCGGTCAACCCGACGAAATTGTCAAGCTGACGTTTCATCACTTCAATATCCGTCGCGGCCGATCCGAGTAAGTACCCTCTTATAAAGTTTATACAGCTAGAAATTTACGATCTCTGCCTTGGCAAAATTCTTCTCGTCACGATGCGATTGCAATACGTGTCCCGTTAAACGCGAATCAGGCGAGTAGTATGCAATTTGAATTTGCAAATTTGATCTTTTATTACACCGTTCGATCGACACTGACGCAATGAATATAAATTTATGAATAACGTCGTTCATATTTTCTATAACTTCTGTCTAAAGATAATGTCAAAATTTATATCGCATATTCAGTTAACTTAATTAACTTTTAAAATAGTCAGCGATTCTCTTTGAGCGTAACATGAATTATGTTGAATTTCTACTACCTACGGTTCAGTTTCCTAAAAGGAGACCCCTCGCAGGACAATCGATCCACATATATGTATGTACGTTTCGTGCAGATGAAAGTTACACGAGATGGAGGCAGGAAATTTTGAATAAATCATTGGGGTAAAAAAGAATAGACGATTCTGTTACGAACAAGACGTAACAGCGATTCGTATGCTAAGCTATGCCGGCTGTGATAATGCGTCGCACGTGACGAGTTCTTATCTCTGGAGACAAGGGACAATTCGCGAGTTAAACTCCTTTTAATTATGTATAGTGGCTTCGAAATATTCGTGACTCATATTTTCGTGCTTGAGATTGGATTGTTCGCAATTAAACTCCCCTGCGTCGTAGCAATTTAATTAAATTTCGAGAACCCATAAACTGTGAAACGTATTTTTTGTTCATCTCGGTAGCCGTTTTTGTAGCTTTGAGGGTTCATAGATGCCTGACGGATTGCAGTTATATAAAATTAGATCATATCGTTCTGGGAACGCATAAAATTGTCCTGATTCATAATTTAACCTGACGTATAATAATCGTGGTTACTGTCACAAAGAGAAGTACTAGTAATTAAGTAGTACGTATTTGAATATCAAATGGTAAAATTTCTCGCGTGTAGACAACATTCTATTGTTAGTCGAAGATTTATGACACCGCACGGCTAGAAAGTTCACAATGTCCTCTCCCTGCTGCGTATCATAAATCTGGCTGGCTGTTCGAGGTTCTAACAAATATTCTTGAGGGAGGCATTTGTTCGATTTTCGTTTCTCACCGCGAACGTCGCATCAAGGTTTCACGAAATCCACGCCCTCGCGCACCAGTCGTTTCAATTAGAAATTAGGGAGCATAACATTTGTAACGAGAATTGCCGGAGCGAAGGCAGCAGGCGATTACGCGGGCTCTCTATTAAAGGGGTATTAGCATCGTGGCGCAACGTCTTCGTCAGACTTTACAGGGGAAGTTTTACTTATTAAAATGGATACAAGATTCATTTGGAGATAGGCGAAATCCGCTTTGCCCGATGAGTTATGTCTCGCAGTTTATCGAGCATCGTGCTCGAGAGGAGCTTAAAACCTGAATAGAAAGGGAAAATTGGAACGAGCCGATTCTTCTATTTTCAAACGGAGTTGAAAAACCGATGCTCCTCCACGTACGTTCGATCTCGATATTGAACATTTAATACTTTCTCCCATGCCTCGTCGTTCCCGAATAGAAATCCGACGTGCTTCATTCAAGTTACGAATCATTCACGGGGAAAAAAACATGATGGAGATGTGACTACGTAATCGCGAAGTCGTCGGCTTCGTAGTCTTCACAGAACGAAAGTTTCCCCGTCGCCTAGTCTACACGCTTTTATTTATTCAAAAAGTGAGCCGGAACTTCGATGAACCAGAATGTAAATTCTAATTTCGCGAACGACCTCTCCTCTTCTTGTGTCTCCACAATGGGGAAACTTGGCACGAAATTCTGATGAAAAGAGTACGGGGGAAAAATGGACCGATTTATGCCGTTCGACGCGTAGCACTTCAAAATGACATTCCCGCATCCCGTCTCGATTCCCGTTCGACAAATCGCGCGAACAATTCTCAGCTCCGCGAGTATTATTTCAACAACTTGAAATTCCGAATACTCGTTTCGCTCGACAAGTACCTTCGAGCAAGTCTATTTTGTCGCTCGATTGAAGTTTCAGTGCGATCGTGCAGTTTCTGCGGAAGTGGAACATTTGTAACTGTAGAGCCGAAAGTAATTAAAGGACCCCCTCTAGTCGGAGCCGCTTCGAATGCTCGTTGTCGATAATTAATGTTCAACGTTTTCAGAATAATTGCTGATGTACGAGATACGCGTACATTCGATTTAATTCCATCAAACATGTCCTTTCTAAACACAAAATACATCTCCACTTATTTCGATAGTTTGTACAGTAACATTAACACAAGTGTAAAGTAGCTCAGTTTCAGTTTCCCATAGGGAGACAAAGTTCAAAACCAGTAATAAGTCTACGTCTTGTTTTTTAATGCTCGATCTGGCATTAATATTGTTGGATTTTAACATAATTTTGACGCGTCAAAATCCAACAGTATCGATACCAGATCCACCATTGAAAAAACAAGATATTGACTTACTACTCGTTTTGAATTTTGTTCCCTTAGGGGAAACTAACACAACCCCGAGTTAGTTCAGTTTCACTATTACTAACTGTACGTCATAAATAGATTTCGCTCAGCTCGCAGTTTATTTATATAAACGGTGAAATCGATTTTTTTCTTAAGAAATTGTTGTTAACCAATTTTATAGTATTGTTTCGAAGCGTAAAAGCCAAAGTGCATTTCGGATAATGCGTGCTTGAAGTACGATGGAAAAATAAAATAGAACCTACGCCAACGAACGTCTCTGTTATTTATAGGAATATCTCTCCGAGCCGAGATAGAGCCGCGTAAGTATCTGCTCAGAAACTTTCGTTCGACGTCGTCTCGAAACTAGCTGCAACTTATGTACACATTGAAGATTAAATAATATCTGCTTAAAATTTCTTCAATCGATCAGTCAAACGTTGAACAAGTTTGCGTAAGCAATTATCGTTTGCTTTCGATAGATGCGCAAAATAGTTTCGTTCCCATTAGTTTTTGCACGACTCAAGAGGAAATGCGATTTACGTGCCAGCTTCTCTAATTCCGCAACAGCTGGCTTTTGTTTTCACGGGTATCTCGAGTACGCACGCATTTTTGTATAAAAGCGGTTAAAAATTTGCCGGTTAAAAAGCATTTCGTGGAATTGAATTTCAGACGCGATCCGTCCCCTGACAACCGTGGAACGCGTCGCGAAACGAGAGTGCGGTGACTTATGGCCATGGCAGTTTTGCCGGCTCGCGAGAGAAAGGGGGAGCCTAGCCAATTTGTACCTGCAGGCGCACACATGTAAATCCGAGCCAACAAAATGTTCCTTCGACCCCCCGGTAATAAGGATCCCCCGCTGACAAGCTTTAAAGAGGATTTCTGCCTCGGGATAAACTCGGCCCCGTATTATTCCAGATATCTTGCATTCGTTCCACAAATACGTAACTCGCAGTCTTGAGTGATCGCGTATTTCAAAGATATCAACTTTCCATTTTTTCATTGAAATTATCACTACAAGACACAAGAAGGGATCTGTTCGTTTATAATATGATAAGATACAAAATGAGAGTTTGATAAACAAACTGTATTTGATATTCTTTATCTTTTTTCCCACACGAACAGGTGGTAAATTCACGGTTTCTTATCCTCCGTGCAGAATATATCTCTACGATATTCGAAGTTTTTCAGAGTTTCAATGAAAGTAGACAGTTGCCAAACAACGTGGTCTTTTTGTTTGATTTAAACGTGGTCGGATCCATGAAAGAGCTAGTTTACGAAACCGTGTTTGCTTAAGAGTTCTGTCCCGGTTTTCCAAAATAATATCTGGCCGGGGAAGTTTAACTTTCCCGTCCTTCAATCGAGCTTTATATTATCCGCGTGCTACCGCAGCTATAAAAGCCTGAATATGGAAGCCTCCAGCTAGCTATTTTCGTTTACTCGTTACCGTTTATCCGTTTCGTTTCAACGGGAGAAGCCTGTTTATTTTAAAATACCCCATTTTATTCCTATTCCGTTATTCCATCATTTCAAATCGACGAATGCTATATTTCGTTTACAATCATTTAAATTTTATTAAAACCAGCTCCATTGAAATTCAACGGTTAGTTGATTGAAGCGTAAACGAGTTTGGTTCTCAGACAAATGTACTCGTTTCCCTGTTCAGTTAGCCGGAGCACGTTTCTAAAATATGACCGGTTGCGCTCAATTTGTATAGATCCGAAACTTAGACTGCTGCAATGTGTTCAAGCCTCGTGTGTATACTCCTGCGGCGATCGTGTTTCAAACGCAAGCTTGGCTTCAGTCAGCCCCGATGAAAATTAGTTCGCAAATTGCATTACAGTTGATCCTTTCTTCTTTAACATTTATTTCACGATTTATCAACAGATATTTTTTTTATAGAGATGTTTAAAATAGAACGCGATTATGAATTATTGTATTATTCGATTTTAACGGAAGTACACGTTAATGAGTTAATGAGCTCATTAATTATGTTACGCGTTACCTGTATTGCGCTATAAATGATTTCTTTAAATTGCGACAATATTTGTACTGTTCAGTTCTCGTTATCTATTTTAAAGGAATTAAAAGGAATTGAAGGAAAACGAAAGAGAAGATAGGGTGGCCTTACAAAAGGGAGATTCATACTCTGGCAGGGTAGCGACGTTCCGGATAGAAAATAAAATCTGTGGAGGCCGAGCTCACCTCGTCCCATCTACGGAACCGGAACCTTCCCCCGTTTTCGTCTCATAACTTCCTCCTTTCTGAACTCCTAACCGACTCCTTCCACTGGTCGTGTCACATCTCTGACCCTTCCTGCACTTAAACGTTCTAAACCAAGCGGCAAACTTCGTGATATGCATTCAAATTGCTCCCGCGTTCACTCGATCACGTACTTCAACGTTAATCATGCTTTGTTACTTGACTTTGTTCAATGTTAATTTTTATTCATCAATTTTTTGTATCAATAGAATTTCGAGCTATTTTATTTTCAATTTATTTATTCAGTTTTCTCTGGTATAAAATGATAGAAATATAAATTTTA